TGTTGTTGTTGTTGTTGTTGCCGTATCCGGGGATACCGCCGTACGCGCGGCTTTCGTCGGATCTAATGCGGAGATGGTAGTTCTCGCGAGGGCCGTGCCCCCCGCTCGCATCCCGCCCCGTTCTTCCCGACCGCATCGTCGGTCAATCGGGGAAATCGGGATTGCCGTGTGTTGCGTCGTTTAGTGTCGTATTGCGTCGTATTGCGTCGTTTATTGTTTGCGTTTGACGGCGATGCTCCGATCTCCGAAAGCTTTCTGCAACGACGCAGCCGAAATGGAACTAGTGTAGGTATAGTGTGGTCGTATGGCAACACCGCATTCTGAAGGTGCCGAACAAGTTTTTTGCCGATACATCGAAGAAATCCGAAACAAGATACAACTGTTACCGGTTCGGAGGTACAGAAATAATGATGATGACGATGGGGAAGCTATTTGTATTTTTCTTGTTTCGGTGGGTGCTGGTACGGTAGGCACAGAAAGGCACTATCAGAGTACTTCATTTTTAATATATTATGTAGGTACGAGTACTCATACTACCGGTACGACAAAAATCCAAACACGACACAAAACAGTACTAATACCTACTGGTACGTACTCGTACGATCGCACTACACTATTGCTTCTCTTTTCCAAATTTACAAATAGAACAGTAACAATGAAACTAGAAGCTTCACGACATTTTCGTTACCGAGCAGCACGATCAAGAGCACAACGGCAACGGTTCTACTATACAACATACTCCGAAGCACACCAGTCGGCGTGAGTCAACCGAGTTCTTGTTGTCGTCGATACCTGTTGCGGCTGCCTTCCCCGTCCGAGACGAAAGGCGTGTTTGCCGGCGTCGATGAGGCCTCGCTTGCTTGCGGCGCCGCTGTGGGGACCGGCACTGCTGGTTTCGCTCCTGCCGTGTTTCCTGGGAGCGTCGCCGTCGGTGCCACCGGTGCCGCTACCGAACACGGTTCGAAGCATCTTGGTCGCGGAACGCCGTTCCGTGGCGTGGCTCTCGGACGAAGGTTCTGCGCCCGATTCTTGCGGGGCGTTTCGGTGTGACGTCGTCGCCTTCGCGGGGGTATCGCTGGACGGGAAGCCAGCAGACACCACCGGGTGGTTGGTACCGATCTGGGCGAAGGGGGCACCGCACGTCGGGTCTCTGCCATGCCATTGGTTCTGATGGTGGTGGTGGGGATGGCTGTGACACTGCGGCTGCTGGTTGTGGTAGTGAGACGAGGAACGGATCGGATTGTTCTGGCTTGCCACCGATGGCTCTGTGGTAGGGGCGATAGGGTGGTAGCTGCCATCCAATGCCAATGGAACACCGTAGTTGTGGGCTTTGGAGTGAGTTGGATCGGAATGAGAATAAGGACTGCTGGCGTAAAACGCAACACTAGAATCTTGCACGTTGTTTTGTGTAAAACCAAAATCGTGTTCGTGGTGTTGGTGTTGGTGTTGTTGAAACTGATGTTGGTACTGGTGTTGGTGCTGGTGTTGGTACTGGTGTTGGAACTGGTGCTGGAACTGGAACTGGTGCTGGTACTGGTGCTGGAACTGGGTCTGGTGCTGGTTTTCGTGATGAAGATGCGCGTGTGCCGACGCCGATCCAGATACCGACAGAGAATTTTCGTCTGGTACCGGCTGGGTCCAAGACGACTGCAGGGACAATTTCGAAACCGAGGAAGCTTCGTCCATGGAGCAAACAGAAACTTCCGCTGCCGTCGTGATCGACCCAGGAATCGGTTGTTCGATCTGGGTCGGAACCGTGGTCACTGCCGACGACGACGAACCCATCGGGGTAGGAAGTGCCGCCTTCGCGGCGTTGTTGGCAGCAGAATCGCCACACTCCCTGGGTGGATTCGTCGATGTCGTCGTACCTCCGCTGACCGTTGCTGCGTTGTTGTGATCAACGTTGCTAGCCGTGCTCGCACCGCGGTGCGAATGTACAAGTTTGGTCCACGAAGAAAAGTTTGAAATGCTCTTCTTCAGCATCAGAGAGCGCTTGCTGTTGACAGAGGATGATGATTGCCCCGCGACAAAAACATTCAGGTGATGGACCAACGGCTTGACAGCAACGGGATCCAATGGGGACACAAAATCGATCAATGTTTTGGCCCTGCGAGTGGAAAGCTCCTTTGGATCGGGAAGGTTGCCGTGGAGGAAAAATCGAAGGACGCATTCGAAGACATCCGGGTTGGCGTTCAATCGAAGAGTTGGTCGCTTTTTCCCCCTCGGTCTTTCTTTCTGTTTCTTCCACGGAAGATTCTCGATGTGTTGAAACAAAGTGGGAACAATACAGAATTGACTTCCAGATACCTCGACCGTGACGTTGGTTGTTCTCAGGCATTTCTGATGTTTATCTTTTGTCAAAGGAAAGCGATCAAGACTTTTGGTCTTACTGTTCGTGCAAGTATCCTTGGCATTGTTGCTGATGTCGTTGCCGTTCTTCCCGAGGTTTTTATCGATCGTCTTCGTTTCTGACACAATTCTTTTGTGGGAAGAAACGGAATCGCTCCGGAGGGCGCTACAATTTTTCGTGGAGATATACATTCATTCACAGTGTCGTTTTATGAGTGACTATTCGTCGTCTTGATTGAGTTGTCGAATCAAATCTTGGTTGATCGATTCGTTCATTTGCATGCTAGAAGATGATAGATTCATTCATTCATTCATCAGTGTGTTCCGCGTACTTCTGCTTTTCCTTTTTAATCGTACTTGTCCGAAGGGGTCAACCCTACTTGTCTTCCCGTACTACTCGTACTGGCACTTGTCCCGCTTCGTGACAGAAATCGTTTTCGTCAAAACCGAATGTGCATTTCGATGTTGGTTATTGGCGATGGAATGGAAGATTCCCTGCTCGCAACGAGCGGTCGGAGTATGTACCGTAATTCATGGGTCATAATTTTGACCCCTGCCGTAATGTACCGTAGGTACGGGTACTGCAGTGTAATTACGAGTTGGTAAATGCCGTACGTACCGTACGGTACTTGGGTACCTACGGTACTCGTAGCCAACTTTCCGCCACATTGAAATTTTCGACCTCCCCCTCAATGGAATTTCCCCAACAACTTTTTGCCTCTCTTTTGGTCGATTTGAACCTCCCCGTGTAATTGAATTTTGGATTTGAAGTTACCATCGTACGGTAGACCGGTACAATATTCGTGCGTAACAAACAATAGAAGATGAGATTTAACTCTGACTCTTGACGTTATTGGAAGTTGATCTTAGGGGAGAGCTATGTTGCCTTTCCGCTTCTGCATCGGGCCCTCATTTAGGAAACGCCTTTCTCAAAAAAAAATCCATCCTGCGACTGTTTGGAGTAAGAAGCTCGAAAATAAAACCACGACATAGAAAGAAAGTATCTTTCCGAGCAATAGTTGAAAATCGATATCTATCCATCCACCAAAAGATTCAATAGAAGACGCTTATTCCGGCAACACAGCAATAAGCGATAGGAAGTGGTTCGTGAAGAAGGAACGGATTCCATTACACACAAATACGTTTCAATCATGACTTCTTTAATACGAAAAGGGAAGGCTTTCCTTATCTTTAGCACCGTTGTGGTACTCTCTTTGTCTAGATCAGATGCTTTTTCGATTCTCAGTGCTTCGAGGGCAGCAGCAGCTACTCATAGATCGGCAGAATCGTCGACTACTTCTATTGCAATGACGAATGAAGATATTCCGGATCCAGCAACATTCAGAGAGGCCGAAGTTCTAGCGCTTTTGTTAATGCAAGAAGGACGCCATGATGACGCCATCATAGGTACGTTCGAGGTGTGGGTCGTTTCTTGTTTTTTGTTTAAGTATCTAGCTGTTTGGGGTGGTGATCTACCTCTCGTCATTTCTGATGAAGTTTCTGAATTCTTGCCCCTTTTGTCGATGCATTGATAATCAATTCACCGATTGCACTGACCCCCCACCCCGCCCCATCCTCCGGCGGATTGCTGACGCAGCGTTCCAAAAGGGAATGAAACTTCCCGGAAGTAGAAACCCCGACATGATCCGATCTAGAAACGTTTCTGGTGTCAGTCCCGTCGGCGGGTCCTTCGGAGGAACGAGTTCCCAAGAAGCTAACAGATTGAGTAATAACGAGCTCCAATCGGCATATTACAACATGGCCTGCTGCAATTCGAGATTGGGAAAAGTGGAAGAAGCAGTCGTAAACCTGGAAAAGGCCTTTCAATCTGGATTCGATAAGTATGACACCGTCCGTGGCGACCCAGACCTGGATCCAATCAAGCAAAGCCGGGATTACCAAAAGATGATGGATACTTATGACCCGCCAGGGTTCAACCCTTTCGGACTTTTTAAGAAATAAAAGAAATTCCAAGTTGCAAATTTTCTGGTCGGTAGATACGCGTTCCCTTACCAGCAAAAGAATGACCAGGCTACCGGTAGATGTTACTTTTATTACAATATGATAGACATCGCCAATTTTCCCTCTAAGATATGACATTCATTTCATGTGTTCATGTCATCACAAAAGACTCCAATGAAATGTTTTCTCGGACCCTTGCATAAGTGTGATTTGCTTTGTCGGATATCTGCCTGCATATTGTTTGATCAAGTTTCTTTTCGAAGAAAATCGACATGTTGAGTACAAAAGCCAGGGACAAAATGTTTACAGCCATCAAACTTAGGATTTCTTCGTACAATCGATTCGAATCTCTGCTCTCTGTATTGTACTACAAGCCCATAGTAACTCAAGTAGCCAATCTTTTCCTGGTGAAAAGAGACGTAACGAAAATCTTTTCCGTGCCTGTTTTCCTTTCCCAACGATACGACAAAAAAATCAAGGACTTTTTTGTGTTGATGCCGATGTCGTCTAATAGTGCACTGCCAGTACTTGCTTTGGTTGTAAGAGTATTATGGATTGGATTAGTGTTGTTCGCAACGTACCTTTAAATGCAGTCTACTTCCATTCAACAATGCTTGGAATACTCTATAATGAAACTGCCTTGAGGCTCCACCAAAGTCACCAATGATGGAACAATGGGAACTGCTGTAAATTGTAGAATTGTTCTCTCATTTATTTGTTACAGTAATCTACAAGTCGTACCACAGAGATCTCCAAAATCTGAGATCAGGAATAGGATGAAAGCGACTTTCTTTTTAACAGAAAGGGACTTTAAAAGTTTCAACTGGGTCGTTCGTGACTGACTGACTCATTTTTCCTCGACTGAAAACTTCGTAAAATAGCACAATCTGAAGGAAAAATCGTTGTTCCGTATAGTAGTACTGTACTGATGCAATTGTGTGTGATGTTGTGCGTGCCTACGACTCACTACAAGTACAAGTACGTAGTACAGGCAGTTATTATCCCGTTGCTCTGTCCAAGGACTAGTACGAAGCAAAGACATCGTAATTACAGTATCAAAAACAATACGATACGATTACGAGTGTTCGTACGTACTTCGTACTACTTCTATGAATTAGAGAAATTCTCATTACGTATCCAATCCGTCGTCTTATAACTCTGTAGATGGAAAATAACAGTGAAGAATGGCACAACATTGTACCCGCTGTATTTTGTGTTTCATCGCAGTAACTGCTCTCTTCGATGGAGTGCATTCGCTAACACTGGATCGACGTAGCTGTCTTGAAGCTGTTTTGTCACTGGCCGTAGCTCCAGGGACACTGCCTCCCCCCATTTTTGGTGACAGTGGATCGGCTTCGGATGCAAGTACCAGTACGACTAGTGGGTTAAGTCTCCCCACAATGCCAGAAAACGTCGACATCACCGATAAAGTGTTCATCGACCTGCGTGTCGCACGTTCGGATGGATCTACCTACATACGAGATGATCTTCCAGATACGTTTCCAAATAGAGTGTTGTTTCAGAGAATTGCCATCGGCTTGTACGGAAAGGCAGCGCCGAAAGCAACCCAGAAGTTCCTTAGCTACATCGACATTGAAAAAGACTTTGATATTGATAACCCCTATCCGTCCTATTCGCGTTCTACTTTCCCGGCACTAGACCAAGGAACCGGTTTGTTGATGGGAGGAAATATTTCCAGTCTTAAAACAAAGGACGTTGCGGGAAGCACCGCTCTGACTTATGGGAGCCGAATACTTCCTGCCGATCTTTGGATCGAAAACAAACAGGGCACCGAACGATTATCCCATTCTGTGAAAGGTCTCCTAACCCATAGAAATCTGGATCCCCTTCCCAATTTTGGCATTACGACACGCCCTCAACCTTCACTAGACGCAACGCACACCATTTTTGGACAAATAATGTGGGACTCGGACACACTGAAATTCTTTCGCGAGCTAGAAGATATTCCCACGTACTCAGTGGATCGTCCCGCAGAATACGACGACTTTGGTACTGGGGCTGTGGCAAAGAATGTCTTTAACGCTCAAAGGGACTTCTTTCGCGGAGCGGCCAAAACGATGGGCGATGACCGTGTTGGCAAGCTATATGACGGAAAGCTGTTGCGACGCATAGAAGTTCTGCGAGTGGGGCGAATGGAATAGCAACGATGCGATTATATCGCCAAGAACCAAAAAGTTTCAACTAGAGCTATATTTTTGTAAACTATTGCTTACATTCATTCTATTCCGTTGATTGTATTGATAAAACCTTTACGATTGTATTCTTGTTCGAATCAGATATCTTTTTCTGTCATTCACAGCGTTCACTTCCCTCTTAAATTCTGTTTGTCCTTTAAGAAATCAATATGTCTGAAAACAATGCTCTTCTTTCTGAAGAATATTTCCAATCATATTTTGAAGCCGCAAATATATGAAAGACATCGATTACGTGTTCCTGTTCCTAGCATCATTGTGCGAGATGGATGTTGTCTACAATTGTTCATAGTCACGCTATGTGATTCAACAACGCCGGATATACGCGTGTGAGACCGCCCTTTCTGCCGGCCTCCAATAGTGATGGTGATACTCATGAAGCAGTAAATTGGGTTGCCTGCGCAACAAGAAGTAGAGACCATCTAAGTGAATATTTTCACAGGTAGAAGCCATCAACACTGCCTGGATACTCTTGAACGAACATTCCAAGCAGCCATCTTTTCTCACTTTCTGCATTGTGTTGTCGATCACTTTCATGGTGCTTTTGACACCGATGCGCTCGCAGGCATAATGAAAGGGCGTGCTACCGGTTGAATCCTTTTGAAAAAGGAGAAGGATTCCTTCGCAAGCGGGAAAGTGTCGCAATCCAGCTTCCAACACCATTCCACACTGTCTCTTACTCCCGGTCCATGCAGCATGGTGCAAAGGCAGGGAAGTACTATTGGTTTTGTTGTTGTTGCGTGTCGTGAGCGAAAGTGGATCCCAATCCGTCAGGAATCGGAATGGTTTTTCCGGAATCCGAGCACGATTGCACAACTTCATGACTAAGCCATAATCCCGAATATCATTCTTTTTAAAAAGATCCATTGCTTTCATTCGTAACAGAACTTCCAGAAAAGGGTCATCGTCCTCGCCGTCATTATCACTGCTATTGGAACCAACGACCAATTTTCGACGAATTCTTCTTCCCAACTGCCAGGCTGTGTTTTCTACTAATTCGCTCAAAATATTCGGGCCTGGGAAATCAGCATCGAAGATACCACCACGCTCTTCTTTTTTGAAATTTCCAAATTCGATACCTAGCTTTGCAAGCAAAGGAACAAACGATACAGCCTTTGGGTTGTTCAGCTGTACCGCGATAGGGTATCGGTATCCTTCGAAAGCATGCTGTATTTTTTTCCTTAGAACCCTTGGACAGGTAGCAATAGCGTGCGCCACCTCCGCTTCAGTATCACGATCGCTATCCAACCCATATGCGTCAATATTGTGGTTCCTAGAAGTAACGCGGGAAATCCTATCGGCAGTGTTGTTTCTGTTGCAAAGAAGATCGCAAATTGCTGTTTCAACTCCTTCGAGAAACGCGTTCTCCAACGCATCAATTTTGTATCGAACTAGAACCGGAAATTTCTCCTTCTGTTGCAGGATCGAAATGGCTTTGGAAATAGTTTTCTGAGACTTGTTCTTGTTCTTCATGGTGGTTCCTTTCTAGTCGAGAACAATAAATCTGAGTGTCCGTTTGTATTTTTTATTTGTTGGGTGAGTTGAGGTTAGGTGAGGTTAGGTTAGGTGAGGTGAGGTGAGGTGAAGAGACCGATTTGTTCGTGGGATTTTATGGAACCTTAGGAACCTCGAGAAAGGTTGTCGTCTTGTTTGCGTTTACTTTTTTACTGTATTCGATGCGATGCTTCGGATGCGGTGAAATGCATGGAGTTTACACGATGAAATGCTTTTTTAATCGGGCTCGCCGGGCTCGCAGCGCGGGCATCCCCAGCCAAGATACTATCTTGGATTATTCGACTAAGTGGTTTACCACGTGTCGCTTTCAAGGCACATTCCTACTGTATTATTTACCTTTCCTACTGTATCATCATATTATCATACCATA